CCTAGGCGGGTCTCGAATCCTGGGCTCAAGCAAGCCTTCCGCCCGGGCCTCCCCAAGTGCTGGGATCATAGGCATGAGCCATCATGCTCGCCTTCCTGCCACACTTTCACTGGCCTCCTTTGCATTCTGCTGGGACATGCGGTCCCTCTGGTGTGTGCTCGGCTCTGGTCAGGCTGAGCCTGAGAGGCAGGGATCAACTCCTCCTCACTTCTCCTTCCCTAAGCGCAGCACAGAGCCTGGTGCAGAGTGGCGGTTCTTTGAGCATTTGTGGAACCCCATTCGTGCCCTCAAGAAGGGCCCAGACCCCGAGAGAGGTGAACACTCGTGAGTACCCTGGCCCAGGCAGAGCTGTCACCAAGAAGAGACTGACACGTAACGTGTGGAATGGCCCCACTGAGGAAGCTGTCTCCTGGGCAGCCAGCCTGGGAGGGCCGGTTGGGCTCATCCAGGATGGAGACACCCCAGGGCTGTGCCCAGTGGCTGTTCTCACCGGTCGGAGTCTCGGCCACTGGACCATGGTGGCCTGGAACATAGGCCTGGATTTGGCTAAGTGGAGGCCAGCTTCTTGCAGTGTGCCCTTCATGGTCCTGACCCTGACCGACGGGTGGCTCTCAGCTCCCGGGCATGCCACGTAAACCATCTGCTGTTCATCCTTCTTAACCAAAAGTCTACATGTCCCTGTGTTCTTCTGAACACTTTCCATTTTGTTCTACGCTGGAAATCATTTGCACATGCCCAGGTGGCTGATATTAAGTCTTCAGCACCTAGATGCAGCTGCAAAATGTTTTCCCACAGTGCCCCGAGGCAAACTGTCACATGTTGTTAGGTCTAGACTTTTAAGGAGGCCATGCCACAGATCCACGTCCAGTCCACAGCTGCACAGAAACAAGCGTGTAGAAAACTCTGGGCTGGACACAGTCGCTCATGCTTGTCATCCAAACACTTTGGAAGGCAAAGGCGAGAGGATTGCCTGAGCCCAGGGGCTTGAGACCAGCCTGGGCAACTTGGCAAGACTCGTCTCTACAATAAACCAACAAAAAAATTAGCCGGGCGTGGTGTCACACACCTGTAGTTCCAGCTACTTGGAAGGCTGAGGTGGAAGGACTGCCTGAGTCCAGCAGGTCGTGGCTGCAGTGGCCGGGAGCGTGCCACTGCACTCCAGCCTGGTCGACAGAGTGAGACTCCAACTCCAAAAAAAGGAGGGAAACTGTGAAGGGAGGAGGCGCCCCACGGATGCCTCCTGGTGGGCATGCCTGAGCTCTGTGGCCCTTCTGTGTAGGTAACGGGAGAGATTTGGAAATCTTTGATGTGTTTTTCTATTGGTTTTCTTGCATACCACGTCTTTGTCCTGGGTGGCCTCAGACATCCACTTCCTGGCGGGGAGGGCAGACTCTGTTACATGGAACTGCGGCGGGACTGGGGGCTTTCGGGGGCAGTTGGATTCTGCCGCAGAATCGCAACTTTCCTAGCCACTGCCATCCTGAGAAAGGATTTCCAGGTTCCTCCTCTTGTTCCTTCGTGTTTGTTTTGAGTCAGGGGCTCACTCTGTTGCCCAGGCTGGAGTGCAGGGGCACAGTCAGGGCTCCGTGTAGCCTCGTTCTCCTGGGCTCAGGCAGTCCTTCGCCTCAGCCTCCCAGGTGGCTGAGACTTCGGGTGTGTGCCACCACGCCCAGCTGGCTTTTTAAGGTTTTGTAGAGACCAGGTCTCGCTCTGTTGCCAGCTGGTCTCGCACCCCTTGACTCAAGCAGTCCTTCTGCCTCACCCAAAGAGCTGGGATTACAGGCGTGAGCCACTGTGTCTGGCCTCTTGTTCTTAAACATGTCAACTAGAGACAGAGAGACAAAGAGACGTGGGGTGGGCAGAGATGATGAGAAAAATGGGGCAGGCCGATGTGTCTTGCTGCATTCCCTCCCTGAGCTCAGGGAGGCAAGAGGACTTCCTGGAGGCGGCACAGACCCCCCAGGGCTCAGTCCACGAGCCTACGCCACACTTGAGACGCCCGTTGCAAGGCCAGGTCTCCTGCATGTCTGTCGACTTGGCTGTAGGTCAGGGGCTCCCAGGACCTGCTCCTCAGGTTTGATGATCAGAACTAGGCCGGCTCCAGGACTCAGGGAAGCCTGTTGTCCATCGACCGTCAAGGGAGCAACCCGGGAGCAGCCACCGGAAGAGATGGGCAGGGTGGGGTGTGGCGGAGAGGGGAACAGGTGGCACTGCCCCACCCCCAGCACCATCTCCAGCCCCTCCACGCTCACTCGTGTGGAAGCGCGCCGAACCCCAAGGTTCAGGGGTGCGTGAAGCCTCCGCGGTATAGGCACAACTGGTCAGGTCACCGCCATCGGGGAGTAACTCAGTGTCCAGCCCTCCCCGCCTTGGAAATCAGTGGACGGGGCCGAAGGTTCAGCCCCATAATCATATGGTGAGTTGAAAGGGGCTTATTGTAAATAATGAAAGGTGCCCCCTCAGCCCTGCCATGCAGGAGAGGCCAAGGGTTTAGGGGCTTGGTGTCGGGAGCTGGGGATGAAGACGGAATTTAGATTTCTTTTTTTTTTTTTTAAGTTGGGGGTCTTACTCTGTCACCCAGGCTGACTGCAGTGGCATGATCACAGCTCACCGCCGACCCGACCTCCAGGGCTCAGGTGATCCTCCCACCTCAGCCTCCCGAGTAGCTGGGACTACAGATGCGTGCCACCACACCTAGCTAATTTTTCGGTGTTTTGTAGAGATGAGATATCTCTGTGTTGCCCAGGCCGGTCTTGAACTCAAGTGATGCCCCCGCCTCAGCCTCCCAAAGTGCTAGGATTACAGGCATGAGCCTCCCTCCCGCCTATGTTTCTTATTATATCACAATATTACAGAAACTTAACAGCAGAGGAGCCTGGGTCAGAGGTCCTGGGGCCCAGGCAAAGTGAAAGAACGCAATATGGAGAGGTGGGGTGCAGTGCCTTGAAGCCTGTTTCCGTGGGCCACTGTCGCGTGCCATGTGGCCCCGATGCTGGGTGCCTGGCAGGCTGAACTCACAGCAGAGGCTTGGGGTAGACCTCCCAGACCACAGCCGTCAGGCAGAGCATGCAGCAGGATCCCAGGTGAAGCCAAGTCTCTCAGGCCCTGAGAATCACAAGGCACGGAGTACATGTTGTCCTACAGCTGACTCTGCAGTGAGGCCAGGCGGCCAGCAGGTGAGGTACAGCACCCAGCAGGGCAGCTCCCCCAGGGACCCCTCAGTGCGATAGGACGAATGTGTGCCGGGGTACAGGGAGCAGAGCTGTGTGAACCTGACCCTGGGTGGCAGGTGGGGGCCTGTTTCCCGGGAGAGAAGTCGTATACAAGACCGGCTTCCCACGGACTGATGGCATCCTCCCATCCCGGGGGCTTGAAACTTCCCATGGATCCCCGGGTGTCCGTCTGGCTCCATCCCGCCATCTAGGTTTGTAGGCACAATTATGTTCCCACAGTGACAAAAATCACATGGGTCAGAACACATCCCGCCATTCTCTGACACGTGGCTGTGGACACAGGGTCTTCTCCCAGGTCTCAGGCATCCGCTGGGGGTCTTGGAAGCATCCTCCATGGACAAGTGGCCTGGTGGAGCCATAATGTTTTGCCACATAGAAAGTGTTTCACTTGAAAAGTCTCCTGCTTTCCGCAGCTTGTTGGGGCTTTTCATGCCCCAAGATCATGAACACGTGTCCCCATACTCTACACAAGTGCTTTTCCTATGGTAGAAGGAGGTCAGAGACAGCCTCGATTCAGAACAACAGTGGAAAGTGAGCCGGAAAGTTTATTTAACCAGTACGGGGGCGGTCACGTGACCTTGGAGGACCAGTGTCCCTTCCGGCAGCTGTGGACCAAACATGCAGGAGAAGCAGTGGCCAGCCCGCTGCTCCATGCTCCCACTGCACAGATGGGCTAACTGAGGCACGGGCACCGACACCTGCTCAGCACTTGGTCTGCTTCGGGCCAGAGCGTCAGAAGAACCGATGCCCACGGGGCGCGGAGTCCCACGTCCAGACCCGACTCCCCCTGCAGCTGAGCCACTGCCTGCTGACGGCAAGTTCCCATTCTGTGCTGCACCGAGAGGCCAAGGTCCGGCTGGGGGCAGAGCCCAGAGGGCGTGGAACGGAGGGGATGTGGGGAGTGGCATCTGGCAGGTCAGCATGAGGGGACAGAGGGGAGAGAGTGCCATGGCTGGCAGCCGGCAAGGGAGACAGGCCCAGGGCACAGGCGGGGCCCCACGAGGTGGGCCAGGCATACCATGCAGGGGGCAGAGTGGAGCTGCTGACTCAGGAAAGTGGGAGCGGTGGGGGTCAGGCCCTCGAGGAGGCTGCTGGGTGCGCGGACGGGCAGGTGCCCAGAGGTCCTCACTGCGGTGCCCAGGGAGACGAGGAGCAAGAGGGGCGGGGCCGGCCAGGCCTGGGGGGGACGAGAGCAGCCGGTCAGCAACTGCCGGAGCCGGGCGCCCATCCCAGCCGTGTGCTCGGAAGGCCAGCCCGGCCCAGCCCCTCCACGACGAGGCTCCGCCCCGGCCTGCGCCGGCAGCTGACCGTCAGGGAGAAGCCCTGTGGGCCAGTGCTGGGCCTCCAAGGCCGCCCCTCCGTGGCACCCCGGTGCCATGGTCAACCTAGCGATCCAAGGTCACCAGCTTTGAGCTTGACTGCCGCCATCTCCAGGCTCTGTAGTCTCGGGGGATCACTTCAATCCCGAGTCTCAGTTTTCTCATCTGTCAAGTGGGACATGGACACATCCCCCTCTCAGAATTCTCGCCAGGATTGGATGATGAGTATCATCCAGTGAGACCCTTGCTCTGGGTACTTAGTGCAGGGCTCGCCCATGGGGCAGTCAGGCCCAAGGGGCGGAGGAGCAGTGATGGTTGGCTGTGTGAGAAACACTCGGGGAACAGCAGCGAGGGGACGGAGACCGGCACCGTCTTCCTGTGCAAGGAGACGTCGTCTCGCTTTGGCCTGGGGCCCACGCCGAGGCACAGGCCCCAACATACCAGCCCATCAGCCACGCCCCTCCTCAGTGGCCGCCTGTGGCCGATGTGTCAGGATCAGCTGCTCCCTGGAGTCCACCTGCAGGAGGGAAGGCAGGCTCAGACCCTGGGAAACACCCATCCAGCCCGCCAGGAGGGTCACCCGCCAGCAGCAGCAGGCAGGAGTGAGAGGCCGAGCCAAGCGAGGCATCCCCTCCACCCTTGCCCGCACCTGCACCGTACCTCGTACCTCCACCCGGGCTCCACCCTACCCTCAGGCCTCCCAGCCTCCCTGGGCCTGGACGCCAGGTCCGGCGCTGTGAGGGAGACTTGAGCCACAGGGAGGGAGGGGGAGAGGCGAGCCCCGGGGCTGGGCGGGCCTCCGTGGCTCCCACCCGGGGCTGCTGCACACTTGCCCGGCTGTGGTCCGCTACTTCCCAGAGGCTGGAGTCTGAGGCTTGGTACCTCCTCCCGGGGTGGAGCCGCCACTCGTGGGGCAGTCCTGAGAAGGGCATCTGGATGGCGGGCACGGGCTGCTGATTCTGGGTTGGCGTGTGCCACAGGTAGACAGTGATGCTGGGGTCGGGCTAAGGGAGCAGGGAGGGGAGACCACATCAGGTTCGGGTCCCTGCATACAGCACGGCCACCAGGAGCAGAGGCCAGCGTCAGAATCCCAAACGAGAGACCTGGCACCGTCACCTGGGGCTTCCGGCCCTGGGATGCCTGTGCTATCCCAGCCCCCTCCGGCCACACTCCTCTCCTCCGGCCGCAGCCAGCCTCCCCCCACCGCACCCCGGAGCTTAGCCGCCATCTCCAGCCTGTTCCCTTGGGGCTCTGTCTTCGCCATCCCCATCGTTTTCAAAAATCTTTAAAAACAAGATATCTCCGGACCTCAGGATCTGGGGTGACAGTCTTTCCCCCCAAAATATATTGCAGCTTTGATCATGACCTTCATATGCGTAAACATAAAAAATAACGAAATTAGGCCAATACCCAAAAGGTATGAAGTGAAAGGAAAACCCACCACAAAACTATAACTCAACGTCATGTGTTCTGCAACAAAATGGAATCCTTTACGGGATTTTCCGTCAAAGTATTTGTCTTCTTTGTGATGAAACGTCTTTTCGAGCGAAGAATATTAGCTCTTTATCAGTCAGAGATAATAGTTTTTTCTCCATTTGTTGTCCTGACGTTTTTATGAGCTGTTTCTGCAGGGAGAGACGTTGAAACTTGTGTGGCAAGAACTCCCCCGCTTTCGGTTCTGACTTCAGATCAGAGGTCAGCAGACTCAGGACTGTGGTTCATCTGTCGTTTTGTTTTGTTTAAATAAAGCTTTATTGTGCATATACCATGGCTCATGCGGTCACTCTGTCAGCCACTGCCACTGGCTGCTTTTATGCTACAAAAAGGCAGAAACTGTAGCTCTCAAAGCAGAAAATAAATACTGTCAGGCCCTCCCAGAGGATGTTTGCGGACCCCTGCCTTGGGTTGTGCTCAGGGAGCCCGCTCCCCGCCCCTCAGGCTGCACGTGAAAATGCTGATCTACTTTTAAGAAATAAACGTTTTATTTATTGCACATATTATTATTGAGTCAAGGTCTCGGTTGCCCAGGCTGGAGTGCAGTGGCACAGCTACAGTTCACCTCAGCCTCTACCTCCTGGACTCAAGTGATCCTCCTGCCTCAGCCTCCAGAGTAGCTGGGACTAGGCGCCACCATGCACAGCTAACTTTTTTTATTTTTTGTAGAGACGAGATCTCACTATGTTGCCTAGGCTCATCTTGAACATGCGGGCTCACACAATCCTCCTGCCTCAGCCTCCCAAAGTGCTGGGATGACAGGCATGAGCCGCTACTCCCAGCTGAAATAATTGTTTTATAACAGGGAAAAAAATACTCACCATCTAGGTCCCCCTCCCCTCCCATGACTAAGTTTTTTGATGAATCCATTCCATTTCTATGGAATAGTTTTTAAAAATATTTTAGCCATTTTTAAGTGCACAGGTCTGTGACGTTAAGTCACCAGTGCAACCATCACCACCACCATCTCCAGAAAGTTTCCATCTTCCCAACCTGAAACCCCATCCCTGTTTGTCAACACTCACTCCCCACCCCCTCCTTCCAACCCTGACAACCACCTTTCTGCATTCTGCCTCTAGGAATGCAGCTGCTGAGCCAGGCCAATGGAATCTGTCCCTTCCTCACTGGCTTATTTCACTTAGCCCGTGTCTCCAGGGTCCTTCCGTGGGTCAGAATGGCCTTTCTTTTTCAGGATGAATACTCCACTGTGTGTTTTGTTCATCCATCCATCCATGGACATGGGCTCCCTCTGCCTTTTGGCTACTGTGAATAAGGCTGCTGTGAACACGAGTGTGCACGTACATATGTCCAAGTTCCTGCTTTAAAGTCCTTTGGTCTACACTTGGAAGTAGAATGGCTGAATTGTGTATTCACTCCATGTTTTGTTTTTGTTTTGTGTTAGGGAATTCCCGTACTGTTTGCCATGGTGACTGCACCATTTTATATTTCCATCCATTAACACTTTCCAGGCTCTTTAAAAACAAAATATTCGGTCCAGACTCTTTTGCACGCTTTATTTGGTGTATGTCTAGAAAAGGCTTTCAGCCATCGCCTTCCTAGATTCTGGTGTGGTCATGTGCTCTTTGAGCTATGGCTGTCGCCATGTTTTCTTAAGCTTTGGCCCCCTCCCCTCCCTTGGGGAGGTGAATCCCCTCTCTCTCTCCAACTTTCTTTCCAAATAAACTATATTGTCTAATCTAAAAAAAGAAAAAGACTTTCAATGTTTTCCACCAACATTTTTTTCAAAATAACCTACTGGAAGTTTGTTTGGAGCCATGTCATATCATTTAAAAATGTCGATGAACTCTTTTCGAGGACCTAAATGGCTTTCCTTTTTTGAGAAAGGGTCTCTGCTCTGTCACACAGGCTGGAGTACAGTGGCACCGTCACAGCTCACCGCAGCCTCGACCTCCTGGGCTCCAGCCAGCCTCCCGCCTCAGCCTTCTGAGCAGCTGGGACTACAGTGGGCACGCACCGCCTTGCCTGGCTAATCTTTTTATTTTTGTTTTCGGTAGAGACGAGGTCTCGCTGTGTTATCCGGGCTGGTCTGGAACTCCTGGGCACAAGTAGCCATCCCACCTCGACTCCCCAGAGTGCTGGGACGACCGCCATGAGCCGCCACACCCGGCCCAAATCTTGATTTTACAGTGATGCTTGGGCATTGCGTCAGGGGAAGTAGGTCATCTCGAGATGATTTAAAGCACAGGGGAGGCTGTGCGGAGGTTCGGGGCCTTGAGCGTCCACAGAAGTTGGTATCTGCAGGGGGTCCTAGACCCAGTCCCCACGGGGATCAAGTAGGACCGCTGGATGTGCTTTATCCCTCAAAGGCGAACAGTGACCTAAGCCCTAACCTAGGGCAGCTTCCAGCCTGGGTGGTTATCGTGGTCACCTGGGGAGCATTTGAAAAGGATCCAGGACTCCACCCAAGCCTCTGAATCCGTTGCCAGAGCTGGGGTCCTGGGTCTGCTGTCCGGCACTTGCTTCCCCGTCATCCGGGCAGCGGGGCCTGTCTGTGACCAGCTTGCCATGGAGTATAGCATTCTCTTGTTGCAGATGAGGAATCCGAAACCAATGTTGCTTTCGTACTGCTGGCCTGCCCACTGCCTCCAGGCAGCAGTGCCTCTCCTTACACTCGTCCCGCCTCCTTTCTGGACCTAAAGAACTCCTACTTGGCCCACAAAGCCCAACTCAGTAGCCTCCCCGCATGCACTGGGATGGCACTAGGCCCTGAGCTACCTCAGCCCTGACCTCACCCCGCGAGACACGATCTCCCGAGCACAAGCAGGGGTTCCTGGGGCCGGTGCTCCTGGCCCTGCACAGGCTGGGTTTTCCAGCACAGGTGGGAAGGGTCACCTCGGACCCCCATCCCAGGCCCACACGGGCCGGGGTCCGCACACAGCCCTCCCGCACCCTCCGCTGGCACCCCAGGACTCACTGCGTTGTCCTGGGAGCCCTGGGCCCGGGCTCGGTGGGAGGGACCGAGCCGCACAACCACAGTCACCCAGGTCCTCCCCTCCTCGCCCTCGTAGATGCCAGGTCTCCGGGCACACAACTGGTTGGGGGGCGCCCCGAGGCCCAGGGAAGCCTCCGAGGCCATCGCCAGGCTGCAACCCGGACAGACCTCAAGGTGCAGGTGTGGAGCCTTCCAAGCCCGCATCCTCCTTAAATGGAGCCTTGCCCTCATGGGGCGGGGCCAGAGGATAGGCGTGGTGGGGGAAAAAGCCACCCTAGCTGGGGCAGGTGGGTGCAGGGACAAAGAGGAGGGGAGGGGGCGGGAACAGGGCTAGGTCCTGGAGGGGCAGGGACTGGCCCGGGAGCTGCAGCCCTGGGGACACAGCTGCCTCGGCTTCACCCCAGGCCTCTGCCCTAGAACAGGGTGGCCCTAAAACCAACATCTAGCTCTGCCCTCCTTCCCTGGTCCCCCACAGCCTGCTCTCTGAGCACCCAGTTTTCTAGCAGGCGCATGTTCCCCCAGCACCTCCCAGCCAACCTCCCACCCGGATTCTGAGCCACCCTGCCCAACACCTGTCTCTTCCACTCCGTGGCTGCTCCTTCAGCAGGACTCCATGTCAGAGACCCTTCTTAGAGCTGAGTGGCACACACCCCAAGCAGGAGGGACTACAGCTCCGTGGGCTCTGCCCTTGGAGGCGTTTAGTCGGGCACGTCCTGGGCAAACGAGACTCCCTCTCCTCAGAAAAGGAACCAGTGCCCCAGCGGCATCTGAGTCCAGGATCACGTAAGGCGTGACCGAAACAAGGCCACGGGTGGGTCTGCACCATCTTACCAGCTCCATCCTCGGCCATTGGCCCTGGTGTGCCCGCTCAGCCCGGCCATCTTGTCTCTGCTTTGCCATGAGGCCACAGAGGCTCAGCTATGCATCACAAAGCAGGCCCATTGGAGAAGCACCCTGGGCTTTGTAAAAGCTCAGTGAATAGGATTGTTTTCCTTCTGAAAGCCACAAGCGTGATTCTCCTAGTTCGTGTGAGGATTCGTATTGAGACGACGCCCTTCCCCTGCAATGGCTGCTGATCCAGTGTAAGTGGCAGGTAGCATGGCCACCTTTGGAGAGCTTGCTGGGCAGCCTCTGTGGAGGCCCGAGCTTTTAATCCACAGCAGTTCACTCCTTCCCCAGTGAAACAATGTCTGGGTGAGAATGGAGTGGCCCCAGGCGACAAGGGTCGTTACGGCCTCATAGCATGTGGTCACGTACGTGGGATCACATCCTTCTGACACCTCTGCCATAGTCTGTTGGTCAGAAGCCAGCCCTGTTCTTATTCACGGAGGGATTATGCAAAGGTGTGAACACCAAGAATCGGGATCATGGGGACCCCTGAAACCAAGCGCCTTCACCACGGAGCTACTCTCGGAATCAAACGAGACTGTGTGAAGTGTTCAAGCCCAGCACATAGTGAGTCCTTGAAATGTGCTGGGCAACAGTTATGGTCCCAGACTTGTTCCTTCTCCCAGCAGAATCCATCAGTCCTCTCCTTGTCATACTAATGCAGCCACAATTTCTGTCACTCCATCTTGCAAATATGTATTGATAGTCTCCGTCTGACTCCTTGATGGGCAGGGGTGTGATTGTCAGTGGGGCTGGGGGCGGAGCTTGGTTCACGTGTGGAGAGCATGTCAGGCGTTTTGCATGGGGTATCCCCTTGACACCTCCCAGCAACTCCATGCACTGGAGACGGTCATCCCCACCTTAGAGATGAGACCACTGAGGCTTCAGTGGTTTAGTCGCCTGAACAAGGTGAGTGGCAGAGGAGGGGTGTGACCTCAGCTGTTCCTTGTTTATTGCCCACCTTGGCCAAGTGTGGCTCACGGCTGGGGAGAGGCAGGACCTGCAGGAGGCAGAGCTGCGGGGGCCACTGTGGAAATTGTGGTGGGGTCCGAGGGTGGAGGCTGAGAGCAGAGATCGGAAGACATAGTAACCAGATGGCGGAGAGGTGGAAACAAACTCATGGCTTCGCCAATCACTCTCCTGGCCGACTCCCCACCCCTCCTGCCCTGAACCTGCTCTGAAGATCCAGAGTCAGCAGGTGATGGGAGGAAGAACCTGGCCTCCGCCCATGTTGTGTCTGAGATAGGGCCATGTCACCTGGCCAGGTTGTCCCCCTTTGGTACCTGTGACCTGAGGATTCACTCTCCCAGGTAGATGGCACCCAAGTCTCTGAGAAAGACATCATCTCTCGGGAATTGCCCCCACGATTTCCTGACACTAACAGTGCAGGCACACCCTGTCCCAATGTGCTCCCTCTCCCACAGAGGAAGTCCTGCATGGCCCTAAGTGCAGGCGTCATGGCGGCTGGACACCGCCCAAGATGATTCCAGACCATAAGCCCAGGGGCCCTGCAGGCTTGGAAGCCTGGATAAGAGTCCCCGTGACCACTGCTCACTTCTACTCAGCTCCTCCCAGGTCCTTGGCCAAAATGGCAGGCAAACAAGCTGCAGGAAGCACGCAGATAGCCTGGGTAGAGCTTGGTGGAGGTGGAAACTGGCAGTTATCCCACTGAGGAAGCTGCGTGAGTAAAGACTTGGAGGAGAGGAAACCCGGGTGTGTTTGGAGATCAGGGAAAATAAGAATTATCCCGTGCTAAGGATGCAAGTCTACATGATAAAAGAATAAGCACATGGTGGTGGGGACTTTGGGCGGCAGGGTGGTGCTGATGCTTGGCCATAGGCTTAAAAGGGCCATCCAAGCAGTTCGGTTTGAAGGAAGCGCAATGACAGTGTTTGACACCAGAAGAGACATAAGGACCCACTTAATACTTGTTGGAACTCGTGATAAAAAAATGGCTGAGTAATCAAGTAGATTATGATGACTAGAAGGGGCCTGGATAGTGATGGTGTGGATAATAATAAAAAGAAGAACACCCAAGTGTCAGTCCTGCTTATTTCAAACAATGAACGGGACAGATTGGCAGGATGAGAAAAGAAACTCGACCCAGTCATGGAGCTGAAGAATGGGAAGTTTTGCTTATTCCAAGGCACTGACGGTATATTCCATTTTCTCCTAAAGATTTTACTCATCTAGATTATTTTTTCTATGTTAATATACAATAAACTTAATATCATTTATTAAACAGACTATCTTTGCTGTACTGAATTACCACTTCTGTCATACATTTACAGCCATATATGTATGAGTCTGTTTCTGGAATCTATTTTCTGTGACATTAGTTTGTCTCTCCTTGTGTTGATACCACATTGCTATTAGTAATTACTGTAGCTTTAAAATAGATCTTGATATCTGATATCTTATAGCATAAGTCCTCAAGGTTTGTTATTCTTCTCTATTGCCTTGGCGATTGTAATGGTTAATTTTATGTGTCAACTTGCAGAGTGCTTTTGGACGAGATAAGCATCTACGTCTGAACTTTGGGTAGAGTGGATTGCCCTCCATTATGTGGATGAGGCTCATCCAATCAGTTGAAGGGGTTGAATATAACAAAAAGACCAGCTTCCTCTACAAGAGGGATTCCCAGCAGACTGCCTTCGGATGGTAAATGCACTGAGCTCTCTGGAGCTTTGAGCCTGCCAACCCACACTGCAGCTTTTGGACTTTCAGCCACCGTAATCATAGAAGCCAATTCCTTATAATAAATCTCTATTCACACGCATATACTACACACACACACACACACACACACACACACACACACCCTATTGGTTCTGTTTCTCTGGAGTTCCCTAATACATTCCCTGCCCTTTGCATTTTCATGTGAATTTTAAAATTGGTTTGTTAATCTATCCTCTCCCTGACCCCACAAGCCTAAGACCGGTTTGAATTGTGTTGAATCTGTAGGTCTATTTAGAAAGATTTAACATCTCCACCATATTGAACCTTAAAATCCAAAACATTGTATAGTATATCCCTCCATATTTTAGGTTGTCTTTAATTGTTCTCTATAATTTCATTAGATTTACTCTTAAATACTTGATTGGTGCTATTTAAATGTTAGTTTTAATTCTATATTATGTTTGTTGCTGGTGTAGAAAAATGCAGCTGATTTTTACATTGACCCTATATCCAAAGACCTGAATAAATTCACGTAACTACAATAGCTTGTCCATTTGGGGGAGAAATTCTTAGCCATTGTGTCTTCAATTATGCCTATCTCTTTCTTCCTCGTCTCTCCTTCAGTGACTCCAGTTAGACATTGCTAGACCTCTCAAGCTGTGTACTGTGCTTCCTGTGTTCCTGTTCTGTTCTGTTCTGTTTTCCTATCCTTTTTCTCTTCACTGAGCTTCACTTTTGATATTTTCTATTGGCTTATCTTCCAGTTCACAAATTTTGACATTTGCTGTTTCCTACCTGCTCTTAAACTGAACAATTGATTTCTTAACTTGTATTTATTCGTTCCAGAATACCCGTCTGATACTTCATATATTCAAACCTTCTCTGACAATGTCTACCTTTTTTTTTACCATTTTGTCCTTCAATCTATTTCTTAGGAAATGCTAATCACAGTTATTTTAAAGTTCTTGTCTGCTAACTCTGGTTTACTGGCAGGTCTGCTTCTATTGTGTGCTTTTTCTCTTGCTTTTCAGCTAAATGGTTTTTTCTCTTGGAGTAATATTTAAAGGAATACCAAATATTGTGCAAAAAGGAACTGTAAACACTCCAGATAATGCTGTCTTCCCCCTGAAAAGAGCAAACTGAGTGAAGTATTGAACAGCTTAATCCCAGTAACCTGAACTGAGTCAAGGTTAGTTTGCAATTCTAGTAAGAATCAATCTGTCTACCTCTAGTTTGCACTGTTCCTAGAGGGTAGCTCTCCGTCAGGGTCCGATAGTGAGACTTCCCATGTGAGTATCGTCTGGACATGGACTCTTTCCCCCTAAACCTGGCTTCTTTCCACCCCCTCCCTTGGGGCACAGCCTCCGGCCAAGGCTGGTCCCTGAAGGACACGCATATGCCCAGTAATGAGTCATGGGGTGCAGGTGATGGAGCGGAGCTGCGAACAATGTAGGCGGCACCTTTAATCAATGTAATTACAAATACCACATGGGCAATTTGAATGATTAACTGGCTGATTATAAAACTGCTGGTGGTGCTATCCTGCCGTGGATTCTCACAGATTATTTTTTCTCCTG